TATATATATATATATATATATATATTATAAATATTCTTTGGGATTACATTGCTCGACCGGGAAGAAAAAAACTTTAGGTAAACCTTGTTTAGTTTGTAATACTCATCAAAAGATCCGCACAACCAATATTAATAACATTTTTGCGGATAATTTAGTTGTATTTATTTTACGAAATAAAAATCAAACTATTACGTAATATTTATATTTTTCAATCACTGTGATGCACATTGGAGCACTCAAAATGTTGTGTTTTAGTAGATTTGAATTTGACATTGGAGCACTTAAATTCAAATGATACTGGCCATACTCTAAAATTTTGACCTTAAATTTGAAACAAATTGGAGGCAATAATTTTTGCATCCTCCAATATTATAAGAATTTTGTATGTGTTTCAGTCCCAAAAGTATTATGAATTAATAGTCTCCAAATCAACCTCATTGTCTTGATTTGTAACTATTAAGTCAAAAATATCAAGTTATCTAGTATTTTATTAATAGCCAGAAAAAAATCAGAGAATAGATAAACAACCAAAAATTATTTTCTCTTGGGGTGCATAGAGTCTCAACCCCTACAGATTCAATATTTTAGCAATAGACAATACATCTCACTTCATTAGAGCTTCTTTTAATTTCTAGGAAAATAGCTTCAAATATAGCATGATTTGTTGCTTATATTGCTTTTTTGATAATGTCTTTCATCTAATAATTTTTTTTTTCACCTCATAACTAATATCCCCCTTATATATTTTTTGCATTTGATAGTGAAACATTTTCCTTTCATGTTTTAAAAAAGTTAGAAAGAAACACAACAAGATGAAAAAAAGATATAGTTACAAAATTATGTAACTGCTATTAGTGTAAGGAACTCACAAAGAAGATTCAGAGAAAATAAAAAAGGGGATTAAAATAAACAATCTCATAGAGATGAATAACAACAACTGAGTAAATCTATGATTATCAAAAATAATGAACCTTGCATAGAGGTGCATCACCAACGAAAAGAAACATAGCTTAGGCAGTGATTATGTTGGCTAATAAATGAGAAGCGACAATGAGGCTGCTTTGAGGTTACTGGTTAAATAATACAAACTTCCTCTTATCCATCATAAAAATAATATTTATGATGGAAAAATATATCCTCTATTTAGTACAAATATTTGAGGTACTTTTGAAGAAGATTATCTACTATGATTTTATAAGCTCTTTCGGTGGGGTGATAGCTATCCCAAAATACATATTTGGTATCATCTGGGCAAGTAGGTAACTTTGGATTGCATAGTACTGAAACCTCTATATCTCCGGTTCCACAACATCCTTTATTTGAGACATCAAATCCTGTGGTCATAATTGGTATAATTTATTCAATCAAAACATGCAAGTCGTAAAAAAATTTAATATAAATATAGTAACTATAACTTTATATAAAAAATGACAACATAAATCCTAAAGCTAACTTAGAACTTTAGTAAATTTTTTGTCCGTGCTTAAGGAATTTTGTTTTTCACTTAAAAAAACTTTTTGCGTAACCTAAGAACCAATTATAAGGTATTCCTTGGGTTTATTATTGAAGTGTGATTATATTCAAATATATTAGATTGCCTTAGCTTCATCAATATTATATATCAATACTACATCTATAATGATGATAAATGATTTATCCCATAGAAATGTTATCTTGAATTGTTAATATCCCTGTCTCTCCATCCCCATAGGGGCAAAAGAAACATCCTTATAAGAGCAAGGAAACATCACTTTTATTTGAAAATATTCTTAGAAAACTGTTGTAGATACTTTTTGTCAGATAAAAGTGTGACCACATGTACATAAAGAAAAAGAAGATTTGGTCCAAAACATTCTAATTAAACATTTAGTTACTATAAGACCTATGAGCTTTCAATTTTCTTTAGATAAAAATAATGCATGACTACTCAATTAAAATTTATATTATACTTATCTTAAAATAAATGTAATTAATACAAAACTCATTTTAGTAATATTTTGATAAGTATATCCAAATACTTGACCCATATATAAATAAAAAAATTCTTAATATAGCTCATGCTCATATCAAAATGCTTTATGATACTTCGATCAATGCTTTATCATGTTTTTTTTTTTAAAAAAAGGCCTAGAGATGATAGATACATGTTTCTGAATGTTTTTTGCTTTATTTATGAAAATTAAATTTGTCATAAATACTATCATGAACATGAATTCATTGAAGTTGGCAAAATTGAATGTTGATGGCTGTGGGTACTAAGAACCTGCAATTTCAATTATTAGGACCCACCGGAAAAATATTAGAGAAAGTGAACTTTTAAGGGGGAGTTTACAAAAAGATGTAAAAATATATATTTCAGTTGCAAAATGCATTTTGTTTATTCGGAAATAAATCAAGAAAGCGAGAAAATATTAATCTTCATAAGTCTGTTGTAATAATATTAATTCCAATAATCCTTATTGTTATGAAAGAGCAAAGGTAATTTAATTTGTTACTCTTAATCCAACATTGACATTAGTTTTTTTCTAGGGATTAATTGGTGATGTTAAATTAGCTTACATATGCTAAAATAATTAAATAATATAATAATACTAAAAAAATTCTTGATTAACTTGATGATGCTAACTTTATTAAGCTTGTCATAAATAGATCTACTTATCAAGGTTTTAAGCATAATAAGTACCCACTAATTTTATCTGACTGATTAGAAATCAACTGGTTAGATTGTAGATTAATTAATTAGATAGGATAAAAAAAATGACTCATTCCAATTTATATAAGTATTTAACTAGTTGAAAGGATTTGTAGAAATTTCTTAATCTAAGAAAGCATAAAATGATATTTTGCAACTTAAATAAGAATTTAAAAAGGGTTAATAGTATAATTACCATAAACTGAGGGTCTCTGAACAAGGTCAAGTATTATAGTGTAGATATCCAGATAGATCAGTAATGTGCCATTTAAAGTCCTACTTAGCCTTTGGAGTTCTGCATTAATTTTTGAATTATAAAGCTGTGCAGCCTCATTCCGAATTGGCACACATCGTCTTAACAACCCTCCTCCAAGGGTTCTTTGTGAAGGTAAGCAGCCCACAGGAGGGAGTCCCACAAATCCTATTTTACGTGCTCCCATTTGATACAAGTTCTGCAGAAAAATAAAAGAGAGACGAAGTGAGTAGGGCTGTCAATTTGGCTTGTTGTTCGTGAACAGCTCGTGTTCGGCTCGTTAAACAACTCGTGTTTGGCTCGTTCGTTAAGCCTAACGAGCTGAACACGAAAAAATTCTTAAGCTCGAAATGTAAACGAACCGAACACGAACAACAGTTTGTTCGCTCGTGTTCGGCTCGAAAAAAAATTATATAACTCTTTATATAACAATATATTACATATATTATTTATATAATAATATATTATATATATTTATGTCTAAGTTTAAACTATTGTGACAATGTGGTTAGTGTCTTCTTTTCTATAGATTTGATCCAGTTTCGAATCTCACACTTTACATCTATTTTTCTCAATTTTAGTTTAACGAGCCAATTTCGAGCCGAACACGAGCCGAACACGAACACGAATATTTAAATAGAGCCGAACACGAAGACACTGTTCACGAGCCGATTTCGAACAAAAGCCGATTTCGAACACGAGCTATTTCAAACTAGCCGAACACGAGCCAAGCCTGAGCTCGCTCAAGCTCGGCTCGTTTACAGCCCTAGAAGTGAGAAAAGCATTAAAACTAATCAAATTAAAAGAGTTACATAACGAAAAATGATTAATTACATAGATAGCACCCGAAATATTTCTATTTACAAATTTAGCAATCTCTTTCATTTATTTTTCTAATTTTCACTTAAAATATGGTCATTCATGATAAAATCACATAGCGGTTTTTTTATTTTTTTATTTTTTTAATTTATGAAGTAAAAAAGGTCTTAATAAAATAGCTTCTTTAATTTTTTTGAATAACTCTAAATATATGAAAAAAGAAAATAAACATTTACGGGGACATATGCTGAGAATTAGCAACCCAACCAATCAAAGTGGGTCAAGCATCCACCAAATTTAAGCCACATTATAGAATCATATTATTTGTTGTTTCAGAGAGTTTTTAATTACCTGGATGAATTGTGAAGAGTAGCTGATAAGCAGGTTAACGTAGGATGGGATGTCGTAGTGAGCACTGCGGAAGGGGGTGATAAAATAGGTGTTGGCGAGATCATCGGAGCCGGAACACACCACGTATAGACTCTCTTTTATTATATAATCTGCCCTCTCTTTTCCGGCGATGTTCTTCAGTTCCTCTTTGTATTTTGCAAATAGTTTTAACTGATCCGGCATTGATATCGACGACTGCATTCATTTGTCACCATACAACATATTTACTTCATGACATATATACATCAAATTAAGTTTACATACTTGAGACTATGATATGAGCCATGGTCATCCCTCATGCGCCTATAATTCGAGTACCACACCCTATCCTCAGGGGGAATCGAATCCCAGAACAGAAGGGACTTACAATTGACAAGCAGATGCCGACCAACTGATCTGAATACCCGACCCATATATATATA